ATCATTCAAAATGATGACCCAGTTCACTTGCTCAGGCGTACTCCATATTTGGGTTATTATGGTTGCTTGCCAGTGAGAAGTGACACGTAAGTACAAGAATATTTTATTTGTTAAGGTTACCTGAGGCACACATAACCGTTTCAGGCCCAGTTCCTCAGAAACACAGTCTCACCCCATTGCATTAATAATAAATGGAGTAACACCGGATGTAAATTGCCCCAATGTTTTTCTACCTTCCATTGCTTTATTTCTCCCTTTTTTCGTTTTCCACTTTGTTTCATACCTGATTCTTTATTTTTCACTTCCATTTTTTATTAAATGTGTAGCCTCGTTTCGTTATTTATGTCTGTTTATCTTATCTGGTGTTTTGTGTGGGTATGAGTCACCCACATCAACGGAAGAACATAGATTGCTCGTGTTTAAGAGATTGTGCTGAGAAGAACGTTTAGACCTAAGGTGGATGAAGCGAAAAGACGATGCAAAAATGTAAAAACTGAGGAACTTCATAATTTGTAATCGTACCTTGTATTATTATGACATTTGTATCAATAGGGTTGAGATGGACTTGACAAAATTTTGGTCAGAAAATCTGAACGGAAGAGACCACTTTGGAAGAGCTAGACGTAGGTGAGAGAATGATTTCAACATGGATGTTAAAGAAATAGACGAGGGTTTGAACTTGATTTATTAGACTCGGGATAGGTACCGGTGGCTGCCTTTCGAAGAATTTCTGGACCACGTGAGCAAATAAATTTCTTTATTACTGTTGCACAATGACCGGTCTGAAGAAGTGAGTGCCGCTGCTGCAGACTGCGTAGAATCTTGCATTTAACCTTGAATTGCATTCCTTGGAAAACATTCAACAAAGTCAACACACAACTGTTATGCCATCGTCAGTTCAGTTACCACAATTTTTGTACAGTACGTAATTCACCATAATTAGTGCCTTGGCACAGAGTCTTCTTCTGAAAAATAAAATTCAAATCTCAGAAGTTACTTAAAAATTCAATTCAAATCTCAGAAGTTACTTAAAAATTCCAAATTTTCTAAGAATTTGTATTTATTATTTTATTGATGTACAGATGTATGTGGTGGTACTCTCCTAACCCACTGACTTCCGTTAATCCCATGGCGTTCTGTGATACATATAGGCCTAACATTTTACTTGATTCTTCTAGTCAAATTCTGAAAAATAAATTATGTGTGTCTTTCGTTGTATCATTCAAAATAATTCAATTCCAAAGGGTTTTGACGACGGTAGATTACACTTAAAATTATTCGTTGTCAGGACTTTTCCCATCGTCTGTTTTTTAAAATCACCACGTTTCGGAGGCTGGTTCTGTCTCCGTCTTCAGGTGAGAGGTACCTACTCTGTTGGGTCCCTTAGATAGAGCTAGTCTCTGTCACTGGACGGAGACAGAACGAGCCTCCCAAACGTCGTGATTTTAAAGAACAGACGATGGAGAAAGTCCTGACAACGAATAATTTTAAATTCAAAATAATGATCGCAAACTTCTAGATCTTTAGGGAATATGGTTTAGCGCTGTGATTCCTGTGGTTTAACATTTGGAAAGACCTGTACCGAGCCCAAATGGATTTTTGTTGCGCACCTTTGTGTATTTCGCAACCATGTAGATTCTTACAACCTAAATCGTGATGAGTTGTGTACGTTTTGTGATTGGTTGTTTAAAGAGGCAAGTCTGGGGTCAGTTCATCAGCTTGCATCTGATTGGCTGACTCGTCGCCTAACCTCCAAACTTTTTATGTAAACTACTGAGATAATTTTAAAGCAGTAAAACAGGATGTACGTCACGCACGTGCGAAGGTCATTGTTAAGCATCATCATGCCAGTCACTGCCTTTTATGTGGGATTTCAAAGGTCGAACAAACACAGACAGTGTGCCATCTAATAACAGAAAACGGAGTTAGTGGCTCTACAATGCAGCTCTCTGTTTCTTCGACTGTGAAATGTGCTTACGCTAGTATTCATGAAGGAAATTATGTAAAAGAAATTCATAACATGTTTCACTTTGTTCCCGTGTCCTTTTGCAAGTGTTCTCTGCTTGCACTTCTTCTCCTCCTAGCAAACTTCAAAGCCTTAAAAACTATTTCTTTACAAAGATTCGCA